TCCAAATTGTATTCAGATCCTCTGTGAGTAGTGCTGAGGGAACTTAAAAGTAGGTTAATGCTTCAGTAGTAGATTTATGTGCACAGAAAGCCATTTCTGCATAACCAAGTCAAAAATCAGGGTTCGTTGGTCTTAGATCTTAATTCACTACTAGTTGGCAGTTTACTTTTTAGTACATTTTCATCCTCAGACTTATAAATATCTTGATAGCATGTATTTTCTCTTAAAAAATTAAAATGTCAGAGCCATTACTACTTTTCTGTTTTACTTCTGTCCCACAGGCTGATAGTTTTTCAAGCTATTTTTGGATATGAAACAGTTTTGTTGACTCTTCAAGATTGTTACCAAACCTGACTGTATTGTTCTTTCCAGATCCCTGTCTGTGCTGGCTCAGTGACTTGCTTCTAAATAATATGTTCCTAGTATGTTTCATTCAAAATTTTGTTTTGGCAAGGTAACATATTATCACATGCCAAAGGCCTGTACAAAGTCAAAGTCTTGTATATTAAATCTGAAATTATATAGTAACTATTATCACCAGGGGAGAAAGAATAAGAAAGGTCTACTATACTTCCATCCGGTGTAAGATAACTGAGCTAGAAAAAGAATTAAACATTTAATTTTTTTTCCTTTGGCAGGACTGGAAACACTCTTAAATTGGTTTTGTGCCTAACTATTCACTCCATTTTTTCCTAAGGGATTTTGCCTGCCTGCAGAATTTATGGAAGATCCAGCAGGAGAAGGAACAACTAAATTCCATGACTATGAGGGAGGTGGAATTGGAGAAGGTGAAGGCATGAAGGATGTGAGTGACCAGATAGAAAATGAGGAACAGGTACGTATTCTCATGCATGAAATACGTGGACAGATTACAGAACGTGACTTCCTCTCTCAAGTCATACATATATAATGATTTTTACTAAGTTATTGGTTTTCAGACTGATACTTATGGATATTGGCACTTAGGTGATAGGTATAAATTAAAAACCTGAAAGTTACAGAAAGCACTTTTGCAACTCAGTCATTGGTGATAGCTATAACTCTGAAGAGAATGACTTTTTACAATTTTAAGTGGAGTAGTATTTGCTAATGATTTCTACAGAGTATTTTTTTGGTAGTTGTACTTTTAAGGATAAAAAGTTTGGCTGTTTTAAGTGATAATTACTTTAATAATGCTGAAGCTCACTAATAGGCTTTCTCATATGTCTTAAAGACATGTTTAGAATTGAGATTTTATTACTTTTGCATTTCAAAAAGGGACAATTAAATATCAACCTACTAGTTAAAGAGATAACAGTCATAAATCTTTTTGTTCAAAATCTTAAATTACATAGGAATGTGTAAATTAAGGAAAAGTGAATGAAATTATATTCACATTGGGGCACTCTTTCAGGGATCAGATGACAAA